ATTACTCTTATTATTACTATTATTATTATCATCACCATTATCACTATTGTTATTATCATTATCATTATTATCATTTCATCATTATTGCCATTGTCATTATTATTATTATCATTATTATTGTTATTATTATTATCATTGTTGCAATTATTATAATCGGTATTATCGTTATCATTATCATAATTGTTATTATAATTATTTCTTTTGTTATGCATATTACTATAATTACTATTGTTATTATCATTATCATTATTATTATCATCATTACTATTATAATCATCATCATCATCATTATCTTATTGCATTATATATTATTATTATTATTATTATTATTATTATTATTATTATTATTATTATTATTATTATTATTATTATTATTATTATTATTATTATTATTATCATTATTATTATTACCGTTGTTGGTGTTGTTACTATCATCAATATTGTCATTACTACTGTTATCATTATCATTATCATTATTGCGATTATTACTATCATCGCCATTATTATTGTTATTATTATCATATCATTAAATAATTACTATATTTAATGTAAATATTATTATTATCATGATCATCATACATTACTATATGATTATTATTATCATCATTATCATTATCATTATTATGTTCATCATTATCATCATTATCATCATTATTATTATTATCATTATTATTATCATTATTATCCTCATTCTCATTATTATTATCCTTTTAATCACCGTTATCATTACAATCAGTTAAAAGATAATGCAGTACAGGTTAAAGATATTGCAGGTAACAAATATATCGTAATAAATACAATGAAGTGTTATAGATCACATAAAACTGGCTGAATGTGTGAGTACAACATTGAAATACAACAACAGGGGGAATGATGATGGGAATGACGAAGCAAAATCAAATTACAATAGCTAGACTAAATGATACAGTATAGAAATACAGAAGTCGGAAATACTACAGAGATACTTGTCTCTCTTCTCCCTTTCTTTCTCTCTTTCTCTCTCTCTCTCTCTCTCCTTCCCTCCATTCCTCTCTCTCTCCCTTCCTTTCTCTCTCTCTCTGTCTTTCTCCCTCTCTCTCTCTCTCTCTCCCCTCTCTCTCTCTCTCTCCTCTCTCCTCTCTCCTCCTCCTCCCCCCCCTCCCTCCCTCCCCCCTCCCTCCCTCCCTCCCTCCTCCCCCCTCTCTCTCTCTTTCCTATAGGCCTAACAGAGCCTCGTAGGCCTTCTGCTGATGAGAACAACAAGTGTCCCGCACACCTGGTACAACGGTGTTACTGGGAGGGGGAGAGGAGGAGGGGGAGGGGAGGGGCTAGCCGGAGGTGGGGGCGCAAGGGGAGGGGGGGAAGGGGGCTAGCCTAGGGGGGGGAGGATGGAGGGGATGGGAGGAGAAGGTATTGGGTCGTAGGGTGGAGAGAATGTTGGGCAAGAGGAAGGAAGGGTGAAGGAGGAAGGGAGGGGAAGGCGTGGGGGCGTGAGGGAGGAACGAGTGTTGGGGAAGAGGTAAGGTGGGGGTGAGAGAGGAAGGGTGTGGGGAGAGGGAGGAAGGGTAGTGGTAAAAGGGAGGACGGAGTCTGAAGAGGGGGAGAGTTGGGGAGAGAGGGAAGGATAGAATAGTTAGCGAAGGGGGGAAAGAAAGGGGGGGGGAGGGGTTGAGTGGAAAAGAGTAAGGAGGATGGGTGGAGGTTGGGAGAGGGGGAGAGGAGGAAGAAAGGGTGACTAGAAGAGGGGGAAGGGTGAGAGAGGAGGAGAGAGAGATAAGTAGACCGAAATATACATATAAAAGAGTAGATAACAGAAAAATAAAGAAAGAAAAACAAAAAAGCAAAAAGACAAAGACAAAGCAAAAAGAAAAAGATGAAAAAAGAAAAAAAAGAAGAAGAAAAAAGAAAAAGAAAAAAAGAAAAAAGAAAAAAAGGAAAAGAAAAGAAAAAGAAAAAAAAAAGAAAAAGAAAAGAAAAAAAAAGAAAAAAGAAAAACAGAAAAAGAAAAGGAAAATTGAAAAGAAAAAGAAAATGAAAAAAGAGAAAAGAAAAAAAAGAAAAAGAAAAAAAGAAAATAAAAAAGGAAAAAAGAAAAAGAAAAGGAAAAAAGAAAAAAAAAGAAAAGAAGAAAAAAAGAAGTGTCACTATCATTATCGCTTTTAAATCATGACCTTTTCTCGATTTTATCATTATTCTACGTCCTTGATTTATTCACGGACTTGCTATTTCTATCTTTTATTATCTTCCCTAATTTTCTTTTGTTGTTTTTGTTTTCTTTTCTTTTTTCATTTTGTTTACTTTCATTTTATTGTTGTACTTGCCATTTACATTTTTATCAATTATTTGTCCGTTTCTTTTTGGTCATCTTCTAGGTATTCTTTCTTTCTCTATGTATCTGTTATTCCTACTTGCTAATTCTCATCTTTATCATTTGTTTCTCTCTCCTTAATTTTTCTTAATTTTCACATCCTGATTCTCATAAATCTAAATCTATTTTCACTCTCTTTATTATTATCATTTATGTTTTTGTTGTTTCTTGGCTGTTTTTTATCTTTCTTTTGTTTTTCTTTTTTCCACAATCCTCGTTTTTTTTGTTTCTCCTATACCGGCGGCATTTTATCTTCTCTCTCTCTCTCTTTCTGTTATTTCTCTCTATCTATTTATTTATGTCTGTCTATCTGACCATCTAATAATTATCTATATGTCTCCCTATTTAACTCTATCTATCTACATATCGTTCTCTCTCTTTTTCTCCCTCTCTCTCTCTCTCTCTCTCTCTTTTCTCTCCCTCTCCCTCTCTCTCTCTCTCTCTCTCTTTCTCTCCATCCTTCCCTCCCTCTCTCTCTTTCTCTCTCTTATTTATCTCCGTCTTTCTCTCTGCTTTATTCACATCCTGCTACTCCTCTCTCCTTCATTATTCTTGCTCTGCTTTCACACCCTCTTCTCTCTTAATCTCCACTTCCGTATTCTTCTTTTCTTCCTCCTCAGCCCCCTTCTTGTGCGCTTTTATGTGTTTCATATTTCCCTCATTCTCTCCTCATATCTCTCCTCCCCCTTCTTCTTCCCCTCTTCGCTCTCTTGTCTTTTCTGCTTCCTCTCTTCATCAATGTTTCTTCTTTTCTCTCTTACATCCTCGTTGCGTTTGTCCTTCTTCATATTTTCTCTGCTTTCTCTTTCTTCTTCTTCCACCTCTTCTCTGGCCTGTTCTATTGTGTCTGTGTGTACGTATATATATATATATATATATATTATATATATATATATATAATATATATATTATATATATATATATATATATTACTATCTACACTCGGTAGATAGTGATAGAGCGGTTCAGCAGAAGAGCTTTCGTCTTGCACTTACCTGCCTGCAAAGTGAGGGCTCGAGTCCCTGTCAGAAAGGTTATTTATTCATCATATCAACGCGTTATGCGCATTATTCCATCTTTCATGATGAAATACCTCAGGATTCTTATTTCTTATCCTTCTTGTTAGTTCCTCCTTGTGTACTTTATTTTCTATTTGCTTTTTTTTTCTCTTTCTCCTTTTCCTGATCTCCCTATTCCTCCGTTAACTCCTCATGTCCTTCCTTATCCTTTTCTTCCTTCCTTCCATAACGATCCTTCCTTACCTTCTTTCTTCGTCTCCTTTCTCTACTTTTCTTTCATTCCCCTCCTCTTTCTTTCCCTCCTTCTCCTGCTCAACTTTTATCAGCTCATTATTAGCTATCATTTTCCTCTCCTACATTTCTTATTATCCATTACTTCCAAACACGTCCTAACCCTTCCCTACCCGCTTCTTCCTCCCTCCCNTCTCTCTCCCTCTCTCCCTCCCTCCCTCTCCCCCCCTAGCTCTCCCTCTCCCTCTCCCTCTCTCATATCGCTTTTTCTCTTCTCTCGTTTTTTTTCTTCTTCTCCCTTTCTCACATCTCTTATTTCTTCTCTCTCTCACACATCGCCCTTCCTCTCTCCTCTCTCTCTCCTCCCTCTCCGTCTCTCCGAACCCGCGCCGCCATCCTCCCATCGGCGCCATTTTCTTGCTTTCCGCCAAAAGGAAATAGAAATAGAGTGAAAGTAAGAGCCGACGCGAGAGCCTGAGGTAGACTGGGGTAGACTGAGATGGACCGAGGTAGCGCGAGGTAGATCGGTGGAGTGGGGTCGTTTAGGTAGACTGAGCTGTGCGGATAGATTGCTGTTTGGTGCAAAATCGGGTGGTTTAGGTAGACTGAGTCTGATCAGAGGTAGATGGTGGTTGACTGTGAGGTGGATTGAGGTAGATTGGTAGTTTGAGACTGCTCGAGGGTTGATAAGAGTAATTAGAGGTAGAATATGTTCGATTGATAGACTGCTCGATGGTAGGCAGTAGTTGAGATGAGGTAGACCGATAAATAGGTAGACAGGCGGCTTAAAGTTGAAGAGTTCGCCTTGATTAGACGGGTAGATTGATAGCCTGAAGGGAGCTTGAAGTCGCCAATCCCGGACTTTGAGACGAGACTTGAAGTAGCCTCCCGCAGACCGGGTAGACTCGGATAGCCTCTGTCTTGGTCTCCCTGCAAAGTACACGAAGTAATCTGAGGTCCTCGCATGGCAGACCTAAAAAAAAGGAATAGATGTTGCCGTTTCCGTTAATTGAGGGCGTGCAGGCAAGCAACCGAAGGAGAGAGTGCTCTGGGCGGCGGGTGGTTGTTCATCGGTGTGCAACGGCGGCATGCGGCGTATGATGACGCTGTGACGCTGTGATGTCTGGAGGTAAAAGTCAAATGTCAGATGTGACGTCATGGAGTTACGCGACTTTCTTTGCTCCGTTACCTCGCCTCTCTCCTCTCCTTTCCACTCTCCTCTCATCTTTTCTCTTCTCTTCTCTATTTTCCTTTCCTCTCCTTCCCTCCCTGTCCTCTATTCTACTCTCCTCTCTTCTCCTCTCCTCTCCTTCCCTCCCTGTACTCTATTCTCCTCTCCTCTGCCCGTTCTCCTCTCCTCTTGTTTTTCTCTCTTCTCTTCTTTTCTTCTCCCCTTTGCTAGATCTGGTCCTGTTTTCTCCCTTTGTTTCTCCACACTTCTCTCCTCTCTTCCTCATTTTTCTTCACTTCGTCTTTTTCTTTCCTTCTCCTTCTCTTCTTCGCCTGCTTCTCCTCTTCGCCCCCCCCCCTTGTCTTCTTATTTTCTCCTCTCCCGAGTTTCAAGGTCCGCTTCCTCCTCCATCTTTCCTAATCTGCTCCTCCTGCTTCCCTCTCCTTGCCTCTCCCTTTTCTTTCTCACCTCCTCTTCCCGTCATCTCCTTGCTGTTTTCTTCTCCCTTCTCTTCACCCCCTTCTCTTATTCCTCTATTCTTCTTTCTCTCCTCGTTTCCTCTCCTCTTAGCTTCTCTCATTTTTTTATTTTTTTATTTTTCTTTCATTTTGCCCTTCTCTTATTTCCTCTCCTCTCCCTCTTTCTTCCTCCCTTCTCCATCTCTCCTCATTTTTACTGCCCTGTTCTTATCACCATGCTCTTTTCCCGTATTATCTCTTTTCCCCCTTTCTCCCTTGTTCTCCTCTCGTCTTCTTACTTCCTCTTACCGTGTCCAGTTCTCATCTTACTTTTTTTCGCTTCTTGATTGCTCTTCTCTCTTCTTCTTCACCTCACCTCCCCTCTTCCCCTCACCTCACCTGCTTTCCTCCTCCTCTCCTCTCATCTCTTCTCTTCTCCACATTTTTCTCCTTTCATATTATCTTTCTTTCCTCCTCTGCTCTACATTTTTTTTCTTTTTCCTTTCTTACATCTTTATTTTCCCTCCTCTCCTCTCTTCTCCTTCTTGCTCTTTTCCTCTCTTCCTCTCCTTTTGGCTTTATGATTTGTATTTGTCTCCTTTCTTTCTCTTCCTTACTTTCGGTCTGTCTTTGTCTCCCTTTTTTCTCCTTACCCTTTCCCATCTCTCTTATCACGCACGTCTTTTCTTTCTTTCGCATTCTTCTTATTCGTCGTCGTCCTCCTCCCTCTCCCTTTCCCTTTTCCCTGCTCCCCTCTCTTTCCCTTTCCCCCTCTTCCTCTCTCCCCTTCTCCCTATGCTTCTCCCTTTCTCCCTCTCCCTCTCACCTTCTCTCCATCCCTCTCCTCTTCTCCCCCTTACCTTCTCTTCTCTCCCTCTCTCTCCTTTCTCTTCCCTTCCCCCCATTCTCTGGGTGTTGTGATTTAATAGTTTTCATTGTTGGTGATGTGGTCCTCTCTCTCTCCCTTGTCCCAGGGTTGGCCTCTCTCTCTCCCTTGTCTCTCGGTTGGCCTCTCTCTCTCCCTTGTCTCTCGGTCGGCCTCTCTCTCTCCCTTGTCCCAGTGTCGGCCTCTCTCTCTCCCTTTTCTCTAGGTTGGCCTCTCTCTCTCTCCCTTGTCTAGGTCGGCCTCTCTCTCTCCCTTGTCTCTCGGTTGGCTTCTCTCTCTCTCCCTTGTCTCTCGGTTGGCCTCTTTCTCTCCCTTGTCTCTCGGTTGGCCTCTCTCTCTCCCTTGTCTCTCGGTTGGCCTCTCTCTCCCCCTTGTCTCTCGGTTGGCCTCTTTCTCTCCCTTGTCTCTCGGTTGGCCTCTCTCTCCCTTGTCTCTCGGTTGGCCTCTCTCTCCCTTGTCTCTCGGTTGGCCTCTCTCTCTCTCCCTTGTCTCTCGGTTGGCCTCTTTCTCTCCCTTGTCTCTCGGTTGGCCTCTCTCTCCCCCTTGTCTCTCGGTTGGCCTCTCTCTCTCCCTTGTCCCAGTGTCGGCCTCTCTCTCTCCCTTTTCTCTAGGTTGGCCTCTCTCTCTCTCCCTTGTCTAGGTTGGCCTCTCTCTCCCTTGCCTAGGTTGGCATCTCTCTCTCTCTTGTCTCTCGGTCGGCCTCTCTCTCTCCCTTGTCCCAGTGTCGGCCTCTCTCTCTCCCTTTTCTCTAGGTTGGCCTCTCTCTCTCTCCCTTGTCTAGGTTGGCCTCTCTCTCCCTTGCCTAGGTTGGCATCTCTCTCTCTCTTGTCTCTCGGTCGGCCTCTCTCTCTCCCTTGTCCCAGTGTCGGCCTCTCTCTCTCCCTTTTCTCTAGGTTGGCCTCTCTCTCTCTCCCTTGTCTAGGTCGGCCTCTCTCTCTCCCTTGTCTCTCGGTTGGCTTCTCTCTCTCTCCCTTGTCTCTCGGTTGGCCTCTCTCTCTCCCTTGTCTCTCGGTTGGCCTCTCTCTCCCTTGTCTCTCGGTTGGCCTCTCTCTCTCCCTTGTCCCAGGGTCGGCCTCTCTCTCTCCCTTGTCTCTAGGTTGGCCTCTCTCTCTCCTTTGTTTAGGTTGGCCTATCTATCTCCCTTGTCGATATGGTTGTTAGTAGTATTGATAGTGTTGTTATTATTGTTTTTGTTTTTGTTATTATTGTTATCACTTTTTGCTTTGTTTGCTTTGAAGAAAAGCTCGTTTAAGTATTATGTTTTTTTTTATTTACAAATCTGGTATAGTATTCGTATAAGTTTTTTTTTTTTCACTCGCGACATGTAACGATCATTTATCCTCCGTTTCACTTGAAGGAGAGAGACTCCCCCATTCCCCCCCTCCCCC